ACTCGTGCAAGTTCGGAACCTTGGTATGAGGCATAACGGCTGGCTTGACAAAACGTGAGCTCGGGTTGACACCTCTAGCTTTGATCTGGTGCCTAGCCACATACATATGTGCAATAAACTGTGAGCTAAAGCCCAGTGAATAACGAATGTGTAAAGCGGTTAAGAACGAATGTCCTTTCAGTAATTAAAACAGTCAATTGTATCTGTAGATCAGTTATTCATTCAATGTCTCATATTTCAAGTCATATCATTCATTTAGAAATCATAGCAGTTATACGTAGTACATCCAATAGCAAAACAGTACAGTAGGTCTTAATAGACCAAACAGCCAGTTGATGGCCATCAATACGGTAACAGTAGTTCCAAAGATAGGAACTGACAGAGATCTCTGTAACATTAGCAGTAACAGTAACAGTAACAGTAGCAGTAACAGTTGTTATGGAAGCCACGAGTACAGCTTACAAAATAGGACAATCATTCATTCACGAAACAGTATCATCTCATTTCAAGAAATAGTATATATAATCGATCAGAAAATAATTACAATTGAACATAGCTTTACAACATTGTTACTCACAGATAACAAGGCTACAAGCAGGCTATTCAGCTTCCTTGAGGCGCGTAACCTACACAGTTACAAAACGAACGTATACTAAATTACACACTTGGAATTGATAACTTAGTCCTTTCTACATGTTTTGGTGTGGTTCTACTTCATTATCCTCATTATGATGTCTTAATCATGGCCTAAGATGGAAAGAGGATGCAAAAATGTACTTCAAAATTTTTTTCAAAACTTGCTGAAAACAGGAGTCTCGCTCAAACGAACATACCGAATGTGAGTGGTTGCTCGAGCGCACACTCCTTCGCTCGAGCGGTCTGCAAAATGTGAAAAAGTTCTAGTTGCGTGCAATTTCCGCTTGACGGTCGCTCGAGCGTGAGACACAAGTCCTCACTCGAGTGCACGTCTTGTCGCTTGAGCGTGCTGTCAAACATGCAAACTTCTAAGAGCATGCAATTTATGCTCGAGCCAACCTTTTGTTGCTCGAGCGGAAATGTGAAAATAAAGGTGCTCGCTCGAGCGTGGAATCCTTCGCTCGAGCGCGGAAGCAAAATTCTGGGTTTTCCAAATTTGCTCACAGAGTTCAAAACATGAATTCAACACTCCAAAACTCATCCTCTTGGGTCAAAATTCTGGAAAACACTTAGAAACTCACAAAACATCATGATTTAAAGATCATTTCATGAAATTAAGGCCCAAAAGCATGCCAATTGTACACAAATTCAACTTAAACTTTATGAATGTTTCAAGAATATAACATGTATGAATTCTCTTGAACTCCACCACGTCAAAACATGATCAAATTTGGCAATTTGATAGAAAACATGATGACTTCCTACAATTAAGCTCAATCTATGACATGTATGAGAGAATTCTTAGCAAACATGCTCCAAATGTAATGAAATGAACATGCATGCATGGATTAATATTCCTTCCTACTTCTTAAGCTTAATTCTTACATCTCATAGCTCAATTCACTTGAATTCATAGATGAATCAACTTAATTTCAAGACTAGAGACTTGACTTCTTACCTTAGATGTTCAATTGGGTTCTAGATGCCAAATTCTTGAGCTAGATGATCAATCTCCAAGGTCCCTTCTTCTATTCTAGCAATTCCTTTCAATTAAGTTCAATTCTCATGCCTAAGACTAAATCTCCCTACTTTCTTCCTTTCTCACGTTTTTGAGCATCAAAGAGTAGGAAAACAGAGTATAAAGCCAAGTAAAGGAGTCAAAGTAGCCTTATATAGGCTTAATTAGGGTGACTTAATTAAATTGACTTATATTAATCACATTGGCACTAATTATTCTAATTTATTTGTTCCGAATCGAATTTTAATCAAACCTACCATAAAACTCTATAAATCATAATTAACATATAAATCAAGTCAATTTCTGAATCGGATGTCGATAAGGCCTTCGATTTGCAAATCGAAACCAAAACATGAACAGATCTTTCTACATTAAGCAGATAAAAATGCATTTAAAGCAACACACTCATGTAATTAATTTAGGATTTTGTCTCAATCATTTACTTAGCATGCTTAATCATGAATTAGCGTTAATCATGGGCCGGGGTTGTCACAGTCTCTCCCGCACTTCCTCTTCCGCACCTGCATATAATGCAGCCTTGCACACAGCCTTTCCCAATTTCCCGCACGTGCGGCCCAAGGCCTCGCACGTGTGGCCCTGGCCCTCCAGCTCGGAAAATCCTTGGCTTCTCTCCCAACACTTCGAAGCTGACCTCGCACCCTTCGAAATGAGTGAAAACTCGGAATTGAAACAAACAATGACGAAAATTTTGAGGAGAAGTTTTTAAAAGTAACGAGCCCAACCGTTGACAGAACCACACTTTAAAACCTAACATTTTAATGAACGAAAATCCAACACAACTCAAGTGAACAAGGCAACTTACGTACCGGTCATCACAGATCATGTAATGAGCGGTTGTATTTGTTGATGTTTTCAGATGATTACCATGTAATAGATAGTTATATTTGTCATTAACTGATATTTTTGAATGGTTATCATGTAATTGATGGTTATTAGACTTTTAATGTATAATAAATATGTTTAATATACAAAATGTTTTTAATTTTAGATTTCTTAATTTAACGGATTAGTTTAATAAGGACCTCATATTTTTCACCATGTTTGACTTTTGAAAAAATAAAAACTAATTTAACAAAATAAAAATATCAAAAAACATTATTTAAAAAAATTATTTCTACCCTCTCAAAAGATAAAATTATATAAATATGATGTGTTTTTAATTTTTTTCACCAATTTAATTTTTAATTTCTTAAAAAATTTGAAAGTAGATTCTAAAAACCAAACCAAACACAACTTCATAACCAATAAAGTTATAACATTATTCATTAAAAAAAAAAATGACTATTACATCTCAAGCATACATACAAGTTAACCACCACAAAATAAATTGTCTGACAACTTTGTCCTAAAAATAGACCATTTGTAAAGGAAATATCTTTTATTGTTCTTATTTAAAATAAGATTCAAAATTCAGGATTAAATGTATCACAATTAAACACAAGCCCCTAAAAGGACTAATTCGCCCTTAAAAAAATTAAACCTCAACCATGCAATATATATATACTAGTTTAAAAAAGCCCCTGTGCTGTTATTACAGTATGTTTAAGTTTTATATTTTGATAATTTTTTTAAAATTTCAACTATTGTTTTATGAAATTGAATAAGATAAATCATTAGATATATCATAGAATTATATGGTATGATATGTATCATTTTTTAATGATGTAGACTCTAATTCTATTACCATATCATTTTGGGTGAATTTATGAGTCTCTAATATTTCTTCCGAATTTATAAAAAAAAATTATGGTGTATAGCTTTTCGCAACAGATAAATATAAAACAAATACTAAGTTAATTCTCTCTTTTAAAAAAAACTACTAAGATAATTCACTGAACTAATAAAAACGTATAAGAAAATACATATATATATATATACAAATGACTAATTTTATTAATACATAAATTATACTCGCATAACAAATGATCAATTTTATTAATAAGTAAATCATTAAGTAAATTAATAATTTTTAATGATATGAAAAATATTTTTCAGTTAATCATTTTGTTAATAAATAAATCATTAAGTCAATTAACAGTTTTTAATGATATGAGAAATATTTTTTAATAAATAGTTTTGATAATTTATTATTACATAGGAGAATATATTTTTTTCTTGAGTATTGTGTTAAATTAAAATTTTTAACAAACAATAGTTGTAATTTTTAATATTATAGAACCGATTCATATTTTAAATAAACCTTGCGTGTATTTGTAATTTTTTAAAAAATAAAAGATTTATATTTCATAATTGACCAAGAATGTTTGCGTAATTACAAAAAAAAACTTTCACTCAACATATAGACCACCCTTGGTAAATTATTGAATATGAAAGGACAAAATTGAAACGAAAAGATGAACCTTAAGCAACTAAACAGTTCTTATATTTATACTAGTTTACATAGGCCTGGGCAAGGCACTGACTATTATTACAGTATGTTTAAGTTTTATATTTTGATAATTTTTTTTAAAAATTTCAATTATATTGTTTTATGAAATTAAAAAGAATAAATCATTAGATATATTATAGAATTATGTGGTATGATATATATCATTTTTTGATTTGTTATACACCCAATGATGTCTATCCCAATTCTATTACAATATCATTTTGGTTGAATTTATGAGTTTTTAACATTTCTTCCGAAATTATAAAATAAAATAAAAAACAAATTTATAGTGTATAACTTTTCTCAACAAATAAATAAAAAACAAATATTAAGATAATTCTCCCATCTAAAAAAAATTACTAAGATAAATGACTGAACTACTAAAGAAGCAGAAGAAAATACATCCATATAATGACTAATTTTATTAATAAATAAATCACACTTGCATAATAAATGATTAATTTTAATCATAAGTAAATTAACAATTTTTAATGATATGGAAAATATTTTTCAATTAACCATTTTGTTAATAAATAAATCATTAACTCAATTAACAAATTTTCATGATATGAGAAATATTTTTCAATAGAAAATTTTGATAATTTATTATTGAATAGGAGAATAGTTTTTTTTCCTTGGGTATTGTGTTAAATTAAAATTTATAACAAACAATAATTATAATTTCTAGTATTATAAGACTGATTTATATTTTAAACAAACTTTATGAGTGTATTTGTAATTTATTAAAAAATAAAAGATTTATGTTTCATAATTAACCACGAATATTTGCATAATTACGAAAAAATTTGTTGCATAATTGACAAAGAATGTTTGCATAATTACGGAAAAAAATTTTACTCAACATATAGGCAATCATTAGTAAATTATTCAAAATGAAAGAAAAAAATAGGAAAAAAAAAAGAGGAGCCATGGAGAAGGAAGAGCTTCTTGTATATATAGATATATACAGGATTTCAAAAATCAGATGGCAATTCAGTGTTTCAATCCAACTGTAACTATAACTCCAACTTATCATCAATTTTACTAAACCTAAACAACACAAATTCACGCTAACTAGAATTCTATGATATATATACTCTAGATTCTCCCCTGATACTTTTGTATCCGATCCACCATGGATTTCAAAAAGAGCAACAAGAAAACAAAAACAAACCATGAAAACACCGACGAACCAACAACTGCTATGATAGAGAGCCTACCTCTTGATTTAGCCATCGACATAGTTTCAAGGCTACCCATAACCTCTCTAATTCGATTGCGATTCACAAGTCGAACCTTTCAAATATTATCAAACTATCCTCATCTCGCTGAACTTCAATATTACCGGACATCGAAGAACAACCCGTGTCTGATGTTCCATAGTTATGATCCAATCCACAACCAGCTTTGCTTTGCAGAACTCTCCGATCACAACAATCAGATTGTGAGAAAACTCAGCACGCCTTTCTTCGATGTGTTGTTGCCTGAGTTCAACATAATAGGTTCTTGTAATGGTTTGTTATGCTTATCAGACAATGTAAATGGCGATACAATGTATATATGCAATCCTTTTACAAGGGAATTCAAAGAGCTGCCAAAAACAATAGAGTTTGGGGAGCAAAAGGTCGTGTGTGGATTTGGGTTCGATCATGTGAGTCATGTGTACAAGGTTGTTAAAGTAATTTACTATTGGAAAAGACATAACAAAAACCCGCCTTCCCCCTATTTTAGAATCCATAATTACCGTGCACGATCAGAGGTCTTCGTATACAGTAGTTGGAGTCCTGGTTGGAGAAGTCTCGGACGGGTACATTTACCTCACAAGCTCGAGCAACGATCATCAGAAGCATTGGTGAATGGAAGACTTCATTGGTTGACTTTGCGGCATAAATGTGAAAGTCGTTATGCACGGAGCATAGTATCTTTCGATTTAGGTGACGAAAAATTTAGAGAGGTCCCGAGACCAGGTGGGCAAGAAAGGTGTGACTATCATTTGTCAGTGTTAAGAAAATGTCTTTCCGTGGCATTTTGTGATTACGAGGATTTGGGGATTTGGGTTATGAGAGTGTACGATGTGAAAGAGTCTTGGATCAAGGAGTTCAACATTGGAACTAGTTCTGTGCCTCGGGTGGTGTTGAAACCAGAATTGAAGCCATCGTATGCGATTTGAAGGAAGATTTCGCAGGTGAGACCTGCTCAAGTTCTCTGTCTTTTAAAGAATGGCAATGTTTTGGTACAGCATAGAGGTAGAGTTTTGATGTCTTATGATCCAGAGAGTGGAAAATTTGAGAAGCTAATGTTTCAGGGGATGCCAGAACTGTTTCAAACAATTGTTCATTTTGGCGGCCTAGCTTAATTCAGTTGATACTCCTATCATTGTTTTTGCTCTTTATTAAAAAAGATATTTGAGTTTTCTTAAGCATTGCGTTGTATGAATTCTCAATGATTCGTCCATGGTTTTCAATATTGGCCAATTTGCATCGCATAATTGATCCTATTTAGTTATAGTAGGGCGTGCTATTAAATTTGTAAAATATAAAATTTGATTTTGAATTAGAAATATATGTAGTGCTTGTTGATCAAGTGGTGAGCCTGTTATTTTTCAAACTTAAGATCTTAGGTTCAAATGTTGTGCACTTCACTTTATAATTTTCTTTTTCTTTTTTGATATAAAAGCATCCACTTGGCAAAAGGAGAGAGTAGGCTTCAAGAGACTAAAGTGAGTTGTTCACATATATAATAGTATAAAAGATGCATAGTCGATTCACAAGGCAATTCACAGCCGATGAGGGTGAGTGAAAGAGTTTTACTACGTATGTAACGACCCCAAAATTCGTATCCGAAATTACTTTTATGCCCTTGTTGGTTAATGCATTTTAATTTAATGATATCTGTTTGAATTGAAGCATTATCTGTTAAGTTACGACTTTAAAGTTGAATTGCCGACTTTTATGGGTTCAGAAATCGGAATTGAGTGCATGGATATGTTAATGGGAATTTTTAGAGCTATTTGGGAAAATTAATTGAAAATTTAATTCGTCTGATTCGTTAATGCATGTTTGGGTGGTTAACTTTGTATTGCAAATTGAAGGCCTTAGAGACTTCAGAAACCAGTACAGAGGACATATTTATGATCAACGTAATTTTTAGAGTCATCTGAAAAGTTTAATTGAAATTTGATTTTGTGCGATTCGTAAGGGCGTGTTTGGCCCTTTCTATTTGTGGAAAGCTTATATATATATATATATATATATGCTATATGAGTTGTTTAACTCAATCTTTGAGCCAAGAAAATATCTAAGGAAAGAAAAATCTGGAGAGAAAGCAAGATAGAAGCAAGAGAAGAAGAGAAAACTTGAGAATGATGAAGAAATCAATGATTTGGCTTGAATTCATCATGGTTATACAAGAATAAGTGATGGTAAAGGTTTAAGGTAAGACTCTCCCTCTCAATCCTTGAAGATCATAAACTAAAGAGTGAGTTTCTTGGGTTATCTATGATTGTATGTATGGGTCTTGTTTCTTCAAGTAAGAAAATGTTGAATCTTTGAATATGGCATGAATTATGTTACAGCTTCGTTTCTTGTAGGAATTTAATGGTTCTTAAAGAGGCTAAAGAGGATTCCACCATATAAGTGAGCTTTGAACCCCAAATCATGGCTACTTTATGCTCTTGTGTTTTAAATCTTAATCTTGTTCTTGTGCTTGGGAATTTGAGTAGTATTTTGGGGTTATGATCTTTGATGGAAGCTAATAATGTGAAATTTATCATGTATTAAAGAGTTTAGGCTTTGATTTACATGAAATTGAGGTTTGATTTTGAAAATGAGAGGTTCCAAATTATACAGCCATTTTCGGACTGCAAACTGCCCAGAGCCGCACGTGCTGCGTGTCTTCTCGCACGTGCGGCAGTCCAGTTCCAAAACCAAGTTTGATTCTGCTAAAAAGGCACGTAGTCCCGCACGTGTGGCCCCATTCCCGCACGTGCGGCCCTGTTTCCCGCACATGCGGGGACAGCTCTGTTCAGCCAACTTTGAATAAGCATATCTTTTGCATCTGAACTCCGTTTTGAGTGATTCTTGAGCCTAAAATCAAGCCCCGGAAGTCTAATTTTCAATGGTGGTGGTCTCACTCCCAAAATATAAGTAAAAAATTAGATATGCCCAAATTAGTGAGAGTTGCTCACTTTCTGTCCACTGATTTTGTACCATTTCTTCATTTGACCCATTTTCCTATCAATTCCTCCTATCTTTTGAGACATGGATTATGACTTATTAAAGACTAATGAGTTTAGAACCGATATGACTAATTGATTAAAGAGTAACGTAAGGAATCGGGTATATTTTTATGATGCTATGTGCATTGTGTTTGTAGGTCAAGACGAGGACATCGTTCTACCGCTGTCAAAAACCTATCACTGTAAGTAATAGTAGTGTAACGATATGTTATACTTACTTCTGGTGCTTATGATTTATATATGGTTGTTGAGAATGACATATACTATTGACATTGTGCTCTGATTGAATTAACAGACATAATTGAACAATGGCACTGTTTTGGACCTAAAGTCATTCTGTCTCTGTTAATAAAAGTGGGCCTGAGGCCGTTATGATGTAAATTGATTATGATTCATGGCCAGAGGCCAAGGGAGGTAGTGTACATGTCGATGTTCTACCTACCCTACAATGTGTGGACAGCTGTCGTTATGTGAGCCTGAGGTTGTTCTGTATTATCTGTGGGCCTAAGGCCATTCTGTATCTTATATGGGCCCGAGGCCGTGTATTATCTGTGGGCCTAAGGCCATTCTGTATCTTATATGGGCCCGAGGCCGTTTTGTATCACATGTGGGCCGGAGGCTGTTTTGAGATATAATTATGAATAAGGTCTGTGTATGATTTGATATGCTTATTTACACTCTTTAAGACTATGCTCAATGAATTAGCCTCCTTACATTGCTATTATTCACTGAGCTTTGCTCACTCCGTTTTTATATATATTTATGTAGGTGAGCCATTGGGGATCGACATTAGAATTGTATTGAGGTCCGTCTGTTTGCCAAGCTACCTGGGGTACGCCTCCGTATTGAGGCCTCAATTTTGATTATTGGGAGTTATGTAATTTATGGAGACATATGTAAGTGTGTGTGAGATCTATATAAATTCTGTGATTGTATATGTAACTCTGAGAGTATATTTAAAGGCTTAAATCTAATTAAGCCATCATGTATGCACAAGCTCAATGGATATTGTCTTTTATTGATATTGCTTCCGCTTAAGGCCCCGTATGTGGTTAAATATTATTCTAAAATTCTGTTTTGAGGCCTATGTACAGGCCGGTCATGGACTAAACTTTTAGGTGCGGGTTTGGGTCGTGACAACATATGTAGCAAATACAATGAGTCTGCTCGCTCAAGTCTTAACACAATCCTTTGTAACGAAAGCTTTCAATACTATAAAATTGAAATAAGCTAATATATAACCAGGATTCAACAAATAGAAAATTGGGTCAAAATAGACCCAAATGCAAATAACACTTTGGACCTAGCAACATTAGTGACCGTTGTCAATAATGGATAATAAGCATAATGGAGATTGAATTTGAGACACATCCACAATAAATCTGATCATATTGGATTCACAACTGTTTATGTAGTTCCAGTGCAACTCTGCCTAGACAAGCATGACCTTCCGTGTGTGTTTTGAAGATATCAAAAGAATGACATTAGCTTCCTAAATCAGATCATGAGTGTATTGAACTTCCTATGAACTCCATAGAATTGTCACATTTACAAGTCAACTTAGCAAACATGGAGGGTTAGAGCATGATTTGGAGCAGAAGAACAGAGCAGCATTGTTTTTGTACAAGGCAAACTCAACAGAACAAAAAAGTGATAATCTCTACCTTCCTAGGTGTCACGACCCAAACCCGGCCCTATGGGTTTAGCACCGTAACCGGCCAGTAATCCGAGATTACCGAAGGCCTGCTTAACAGTAATACAGTAAAACAGAGTACAGGGCCTGGCGGAAGCCAATACAGTAAGTAAATAGTGTCCATTGAGCTGTGACAGTCTATATGCCAAAAAGATTTTTCATGCGCTCATACATACACAAACAGTACAGTCTATACAAAATTTACAGTCACACAGTACAGGGACCTAATCCCTTGATAACAGTATAGTTAGCAACAGACAGTCTATACAGTGATCCAAACAGTATGGAGACAGATGGGGGAAACAAACAAAACACCCCAAAGCCATAGCATGGCAACTCGGAACCCCGCAGTGAGGCACAAAGGCTGGCTTGACAAAACTGGAGTTACCCTAACGCTCCTAGCTCCGATCTGGTGCCTGTACACCTACATATATATATGAGCAGTGAGCTAAAGCCCAGTGAATAACATAAAGCGTAAAGGGGTTTAGAATGAATGTCCTTACAGTAATGAAAACAGTTCAATTCAATCAGTATTTCAGTCGTTCAGTACAGTAAACAGTCATATGTGGTACATCCATTAGCATAACAGTAACAGTAGGTCTTAAAAGACCGAACAGTAATGATGGCCATCAGTCAGTAAACAGTAGTGGTTCCACGAGGGAACCGACAGAGATCTCTGTAACAGTAACAATACAGTAAACCGTAGGTACTAAGGATGCCACAGTACAGTTCAGAAATAAAGGACATACATTCATTCAGTAAATAATACCAGTTCAGTAAACAGTTCAGTTCAGTATTCAAAAGATAATCAGTTGAACATATCTTTACACAATTGTTACGCACAGAGTTCTGGGCTACAGTATGCTAGAGCGTGTCTCCCCAGTTGCCAACCCTACACAGTTCACAGGTTGAACACACACTAAGCTACACAGTTGGGAAATATCATAACTTAATCCCTAATTTGCCTTGGTGTGTTCTACAACGATATCCTCATCTAAATGTCTTAAACTAGGCCTAAGAATGCCTAGGATGGGTATGCAACCACGATGGCCCCATGATGAGATTGTACGGTGATAGCAGCCTGACGACCAAAAATTCCACATCCACCGTTCTGGAACCTGCCGGGATGGGTAAGCTGATCTTTCCCAATGGGTACTCTGGATTGGCATTGAAGCCGAATAGTGGATAAGGAGCCGGACTCAGGTCTAACTCGTTGAATCCAAGTTTGATGAAGGTTTTA